GTGCCATTCAAACAGAAACATTATTTGAACAAACAATTGCAAGAGCAATCTCATGTTTTGTTTATCAGTGTTTTCCACCCTGCCCCCCATTGCTGCAGCTCTTTTTTTTCTCTTGATGCAAAAGTCTCCTGACCCATTTTGGCCAGTTATGCCCTTTTCACAAGGGAGTGATGTCAGCCCACACAGCTCCTTTTAGCAAGGAGATGCTGCCAGCTTTTTCCTTTTGACAAGGATGTTTGGAAATGCTGCCATCCTGCCATTCTTTGGCAAGGATAGATTTTCCACTGCCAGCTTTGCCCTTTTGACAAGGGGGTTTGGCGTTGCTGCCGGCCTGCTGCCTCCTTTTGACAAGGAGATCAGTCAGCCATGGCCTGGTCAAGCAAGAAGGCAGCCACTGCACCACACAAGGTGGGGTGGGCTCTCTTGCCATTGAACACCCAGTGCCTCTTGGGAGAGACTGGGTATACAGACAAGCCTTTTGACAAGGCCTCTTGGCAGATATTGTTGTCATCAAAAATGTGGCCCACACTGTTTCTGATCATCCACTCAGCTTTGCCCTTGGCCCCTGTCCTTGAGGAAGTGAAGGCGACCTGGTCAAATTTGAAAGGCAGCTTGTCGAGCCTGGCTTGCACTTCCAGCTTTCTCACATGTCCACAGAAGGACAAGAGAAACACTTGGTAGCCTTGGCTCCTCAGGGCCTCAAGGGACCTGAGGTTTGCTCCTGTGACCACCTCATCAACTTCAAGAGTGTGGTGCCAGTCAATGGCTCTTGTGTTGGGATTCTGTTTCAAAACCCAGGCCCCTTTTGGCAAGGGGGTTGTGGGCTCTGGCAAGGCTGCTGCAGGGCTTGCCACCTTGGCCTTCTTTACATCAGGAGGGTTGCACTCACTGGAGGGGCTGCAATCAGCCTCCGGTTTCACCCCCATGGCCTGCTGGTGAAGCCCAACCTCCTTTTGGCAAGGGGTAGCCTCCTTTTGCTGGTGAAGCCCAACCTCCTTTTGGCAAGGGGTAGCCTCCTTTTGCTGGTGAAGCTCAGTCCTTTTGGCAAGGGGTAGCCTCCTTCTGCTGGTGGTGCTCAGGCCCCTTTTGGCAAGGGGCAGCCTCCTGCTGGTGGTGCTCAGGGCCCTTTTGGCAAGGGGCAGCCTTCGCCTGCTGGATGTGCTCAGGGCCCTTTTGGCAAGGGGCAGCCTGCAAAGCCTTTGTGGCAAGGGCAGGCTCCTCCTCCTTGTGGTGGAGCTCAGGGTCCTCGCGGGGCATGTGCTTGGCAATTTCCCTTTCGCTGGGGCCAAAGGCAGCAGATTTGGGCTGGGCAGGTGCCAGAGGAGCCTGCTCTGCAGCTTCTCTGGCCAAAGCCTTCTCCCTCATCCTCTGCCTCCTTGCTTGGCTGACTGTGCCTGTGCCCTGGGGTCGGCCCTTGTTGTTTGTGTTGCCCCACCAGCCATTCCAATTGTCCCAATTGGCCATCCCTTTTCTCAAGGGCTGTCCCTTTTTTCAAGGGTTGTTCTTTTTCCAGGGCAGGCCCTTTTTGCAAGGGAATTGCAGAGCCCTTTGGTCAAGGGGGTGCAAAAACAAAAGATCTTTGAGCTTGAAACGGCTGCAGTTGAAAGTGGTGATGGCTCCACATGGTGTGTGTGTGTGTGTGTGCTTGTGTGTGTGTGCTTGCAGTGTGGTGTATGTGGGAAACATGTTATGAGGAGAAGAAAAGCATTCACTCAAAAACACACACAAGCCAATGCTTGGATATTTACTGAATTAAGATAAGTTCCAAAAATGAAATGACCCTTCCTCCACCAAAAGGTTGTTGGTTATGTTTTTTGTGGCCAATGGGTCTTCAAGGGGTGCATTGAAAAGCAACATTGTTTGAACAGGCAGTTGCAACAGCAATCTCACGACTGGCTTTCCCTTGATTTCCCCCAGCCCCCCTAGCTGCAGTTTTTTCCATTGAATCAAAATCTGTCCTGACCAATTTTGGCCAAGGAATCTGCCACCACAAAGGGGATTGTTACAGATTATGCCCTTTTCACAAGGGATTGGTTGCGGCAAGCACACACAGCTCCTTTCAGCAAGGAGATGCAACTTTGCCCTTTTGACAAGGGGATGAAAGCTAGCACCCAGCCCCTTTGGGCAAGGGTTCTTCTATTCACTGTGGAATCCCCCTTGTAAACAGCAGCTGGCAAACCCTTTGTTCAAGGGCCAAGGCTTCACCCTTTGGGCAAGGAAGGGTCTTTCTGCATCATGTGCACAACTCCTCCCTGAGCTGGATGGCCTCATTTTTTGTCAGGTGGTTTTCTCTAAGCTTGGCAAGAATTGCATCAATGTGTGCACTGTAGGAGGCTGATCTTTTCATTGAGATCTCCACAATCAACCTGTTTTTCTCCCCCGGCTCTTGGCTTCCAGTGATGTAAGCTCTCTCTGGGTTCTTGGCATTCACTTTGCTCAATTTCAGCCAAGGTTTTCTTGCAACTGGGTTTGTAGAGTTGTGCTTTTCTGATGTTGCTTCAGCCCTTTTGACAAGGGCAGCTGGCTTCTTCATAACAATACACAGCTGTTCTTTCAAGCTAGCCGTTGGCTCTGGCGTTTTTTGGCCCAGCCTTCTCCTCATGAAGCTTGGCTTGCAGAGGGCACTGGCACTGCTTGGCACTTGTCCTTTTGGCAAGGAAGGCATTGCCTGGCTGTGGCTTGAACTAGCTTCCTCACTGGGGAGTGAATCTCCCTTCTCAGGGCAGCCCCCTTTAGACAAGGGGCTTGTGGTTGGCTGAGCTTTGAGTGGGCTGGTAAAGCAAGCTGGGAAGCCTTGGCTGTCCAGGGAAACATCACTCACCAGTGGCTTGAGTTTTCTTTGTTTGTTCTCCATTTCCTCAAGGGGTGGCCCTTCCCTTTTTCCAAGGGGTGGCTCCTCCCTTTCTTCAAGGGGCTTTGCAGGCAGAACTGGTTGGTCATTGCTTTTCTTCTCAATCATGTTGACAACCTCCTGCAACTTGAGGTGCTCAACACTGGTCAACTTAGAAGCACAGAGTCTCATGCTTTCTGGAGATTTGAGCCGCCGAAAATGGGCCAAAATAACATTCAGCCTTTCCAGCTTGAGGCCAACCCAAACTTGCCCATTGAATTTGGAATTGTTGATCGATGGGTCTGATTGATACACAGTATAGATTGCACCTCTCAAGTTTCCCTGGTGGATTTCACAGGTGGGCTCTGCTTCCACAATGCATTTTACCAGTTCCAGCACATGCATCAAGCCTGCAGGGTGGCAGGCCTGTGACCTAGAGATTGTTTCATAAACCCCCAGGCTTGCCAGAAGGTGGGAATGGCACTGCAGTACCCTCACCAAAATTCCAATATCAACTTGGGGTTTGCTGAAGTGCCTGGCCCCACCTTTGCCCATGTTGGCAAGCCCTTTTGTCAAGGGGGTAGATCAGAACCCTTTTGTCAAGGGAACCCTGCCACAATTGCCCCTCCGTGAAGGATAATGCCCCTTTTAGCAAGGGGGTTGGATAGCGGCACCCTAAACCCACAGGCTTGAGCCACCATATACATCAAAGCTGCCAAGTATAAGAAGCATGGGTGCCCAAGAAAAAGCCAATAGGGCAAGCACAACCACAATCAATAGCTAAATCAATATGAAAATCAATATAAAAATCAATAAAACTGCAAAATCTAATCAATAAGAAAAAAATCAATAGCCAATTGATTTTTTCAATAAAAACACCTCAAATCAATATCAATAAGAAAACATTGGTTTCTGTTGATTACAATCAATAGCCGATGCTCAGGGAAGGGCTTCCAGGCCAGGCTGGACGAGGTGGAAGCCTGGCAGGCCCAGCGCAGGCCGAAGAACAAGTAAACATGGAGGCGCTGAGAGATCTGGCCGACGACTTCAACGTGCGGGACCCCCGGAAGCTGCACCGACTCGCGAGGCAGCGCCTCGACGTGACGCAGGCCATGGCCTTCGAGGCGCTGAAGGCCGACGTGGGCCGGCAGGTGCAGGCCCCGCGGCCCAGGCCGGCAAGTCCGCCGCGGCGGAGGGGCCCAACGACCGGCTGCAGGCCGACCTGATCGACTTCAGCCAGAACACCAAGGGGAAGACCAAGTACGGCCTCGTGGTCATGGACGTCTTCACCAGGGAGGCGGCCGTGGAGTCGCTGCAGAGAAGAGCGCCGCAAGCGGGCCACCCGGGAGCTGGTGGGCGAGGAGCGCAACTTCGTGGTCACCACGGACCTGGGCAACGAGCTCGCCTCCCTGGACCGGGAGCTGCCCGAGGAGGCCGTGCGGCCCGAGGACCGCAACGCCACGGCCGTGATCGACCGGCCACCGAGTTCCGGCTGCTGCAAGACAACGCGGACAAGTTCCAGCACAACAAGGATCTGACCGACCGCCGCATCAAGGCCATAGAGGACGCGGGGGCCTTCAGGGCTCCCACCAACGCCGCCCGGAGCTTCAACCCCCAGCACGGGGACGTGCAGCGGCTGCAGGCCGTGGACTCCATGACGGTCCGCAGCACCGAGAGGCGGGAGACCCTGCTGAAGCTGGCCCTGCCGGCGCCCCAGGGCAGCGGCAACGCCGCGGGCAGGCTGACGAGGCGCGGCCGGCCCGCTGCGGCAAGGCAGCTGGAAGACTTAGCCCAGGAGGCCGAGGCCAGCACAAGGCAAAAAAACATGTCTTAGCATATTGATGGGCTTTGGGGCCAAATCGCATGTAGCCAATTCCACATGTTCATGCGTTTGATTCGTCACTCACCGGCTGCCCTCAAAATGCAAGCATTGAGAAAAGGAAACAAAAGGTCTCAACAGCCCCCTAAATCGTTCCATGGCCTTCCTCGGTTCCCCAATCTGCTCGTTCTGCACCCAGAAACTTTTTTCCTCATGCTCCGCAATTCTTTGAGCCCCGAGATCCAATTCTAGGCCAGGAAATGGCACAGCAGCAACAATTCAGCCTTCAAGGTTTGGCCGCCCTGGTTTGATAGAAGGCTCTACCAGCGTAGAAGCCAAAGTACTCCTGGTACTGCGCTTCAGATACGAAGATCAAGCGCTGTCTGCCGGTTTGTGGCACAGTCTCTGTCCTTGTCAGCAAAAGCACCAGGATGTCAGCTGTGTCGCATGCTTTGTCACGCTCGTTCTCCACTATGAATGGAGAATTGCCCTTCTTGCATTGCAAACATTCAGAGATCGTGCGATTGTTGCCCTTTGCCCTCACCTCTTCCAACATGAGAAAGGCATCAGCAGCTGGAGCTCCGGCAGCATTCACGACCAAAACACGTTTGCCAGTCAACGTCACTGTAAGGTTTTGGTTTGTCATTTCAACTACGCACTGGTGCATTCCCAGTCCCTTAAGTAAATTTGTCCGAGCTTTGGGATTGCCGCAGCCTAATGACCTCGACAACAATTGCTTCCTGGATTTGGCAAATTGCAGATGCCGGTTGATGACCTTGGTGCTTTTCAAGCTGTCAGGCTGGATCACTGCACCCCTGTGTAGATCGGCAATGTCAACTAGTTGTCCATCCTCAACCGCAGAAGCTCGCAACACTCGAAACCTGGCATTGAATTCTTCCCACTGTTGCCAGGTTGGTTCTGACTCAAACTAGCGGTAGTCCATCAAGTTCCACGGTTGCAAATCGTCAGAGAACTTAGACAAACTCAGCATCAAGTACAACCAAATGTAGGGCAAGTCGATGCGGTACTGCGAGGAGTCGCCGTCCTTGAACTTGACGCGGATAAGCTCCACCTTCTCAGGATCTAGATTGCCGACCATTTCGCCAGACAAAATCCATCTGCCTGACAGAGCTGCGCGAAGCAGTTCCTTGAGGTCTGCACCCGGCTCAATCTGAGTGGCGTCAGGATACTTCTGCCTCAATTGTCTCATAACTGCACCCACCAAGGCAGTTGCTGCAGCGTTGGGCATCTCCATCAAGGCCTCTAGAAGGCACTCCAAAGCTCTGCCATGCCCGTCCATGTCTTCGACCAGGAGGTCTTTTAGGCGGTGGCCGGGCAGCACCGGCTGTTTGTTGCGGGTTACGGCGGTCACGCGTGGCAGCTCCAGAAAAACTCGGGCCTGACATTTTGCAAAGCGGCCACACAAGCTACGACAAAGGGACCTTCGATTTGGTTGATGAGGCGGCAGACCTCCTGCATCACCTGATAGAATGGCAGGTCCTTGCCCGCAGCATCACTGTGCTCGGTAAATCCAGGCAGACCTTGCATCCCGTCGACTCCGATCACCACCGTGCTATGATTGAGCTCATCACGCAGCACAGACTTAAGCACAGGCGAGGGTGTGAGGTCGGCAGGGCATTGGATGCGGAATTCGGCAAAGTCTGTTGGAGCGCCGACCTCCCGAAAAGCCTCCTTGTTTGCATTCCTCAGCTGCCACAGCATGCGGCATGCCACAAAGCGTCGGGCATTGAGCTCCTCCGTGGCCCAGTCCCCGGGAGAGAGGCCGTTCTCGCAGCTGATCATGAAGCTCCTCGTTTGCTTGCTGAATTTCAGTTTCTGCCTTTCAGACACATTCTGCAAGCACTGCTCGACCAGGCCCGGGAACTCTGTCAGCAACCGGGACTTGCCTTGCCCTGGGCCTGCAAATGCAATGAACAAAGGATGAAGCTGTTTGTCACTGTTCTTCCCCTTTTGCTCGTGCAGCTTCTGGATGGGGATCTGCATGCGCTCACGGAGCTCCTCCTTCCCACAATAGTCCCATGTGGCCCCAACTGTTGCAAGCAGTTGGTCGGCTGCTCCAAACTTCAACTTCTTCGCGAGCAACTTCTCGCACCAACTGCTCCGTGCCTGTCTCCAAAATCGGGTGCGGAGGAGTGTAAGGACATCAGCAATTGTTGGATTTATCGAGTCGGGTGGCTCCGCCTCAGCAAAAGAATTTCAAATCAGGCAGATATGAGCAGGTACATCTAAAATTGAACAATAGAAGGGGATGGAATGGCAGCACAACGGGCCAAACCATCGAACAGGAACTCTGCCCGTGGATGCAAAGCCGGGAATGTATGGTTGAACTCACTGCATCAAAGAGAACATTCACAGAATGCACTTGGGCCTTCAGCAGCCAGGACCCCAATGGGTGCAGAGACATAAAGACATCAGAGTTTGCCCTCCCTCTCCCCGACGGCAGAAGGGCAGGTCTTGCTCTTTGAAAAGCAAGCTGAAGGCAATGACAAAATCACTCACAAGGATCAACGGCACGTCTCAATCAATGTTGACCGGCAGGAATGACCGACCTCCCCGAATGGCAAGGAATGGCAACCATCCGTTCATGGGGGGCTCCATACCGAGCCTGCCAACGACACGAACCGCCGCAATCTGCAAAAATGCTATCTTGGGATTTCCTGGTTCTCTGGATGCGATCAGGGCAGCCCCACCAAAACCATGTGCGGGCCGCGCGGGGAATTTCAGAACCGCGCGCAACGATCAGAGTCCCAGAATGCAGCCGGCCGGCGGAAGCGACCGACTCCGCCCGCCTCGGACTCCTTCGTCCGGCCGCTTGCCTTTGCCGCCTGCACCTCCTTCTTCGCCCTCTCCACCTTCCTCTCCGCCTTCTCCACCTTCCTCTCCGCCTCCTGGACCTCCTTCTTCGCCCTCTCCACCTTCCTCTCCGCCTCCTGCACCTTCCTCTCCGCCTTCTCCACCTCCTCCTTGGCCTCCTGCACCTTTGTCGCATTGCCCGAGTCCTCCGCCGTCTCCAAGACGGTGGCAGCTCGAGCGAGACGCCTCACCGCCATCGCTTCCTGCTCCTGGGCGCTCTCAACCTGCCGCTGGGCGCTCTCAACCTGCCGCTGGCCCGTCTTCCGCTGCTGTCGCACCAGGAGCAGGTCCTGCCCAGGCCGACTCCCACGCCGAGCGCTCGAACGCGCTCGAACGGACGGCCTCCTCCAATGCCGTTTTGGCTGCTTTGGCCTGAAAAGCACCCACAACAAACGTGCATTTTGAAAATGTCACGAAAGCGCTTCTGAATCTGACCTGTTGGTAAAGGAAGCAAACACTGCTGCCTCTGCCACAAACTTCCGTAGCTGCTTCTCCAATTCGGGCTCATTAACCCAAACCTTCCACTTCCCTGCTGGATCTACCAGCTGCACTCTTCCTGAGCTCAACCGCGCCTGCAAATCCACAACGAACGTATTGACGTGCTGCTAAAGCGGCGCATGACCACTTGCATGTCTTTCAGCGTGCCGTTGTCCACAACCCGTTTGGCTTCTGCGACCACCTGAGCGAGACAAGGCTGGGACGTCGCTTTCTCTGAAGGCCCGCCGCCTCCTCGAGATCGAGCCGGTCCTGACAACCAACAAGCCCAACGTTCAAACCCGATGCACGTGTCCCCCAGGCCTGGCCACTGTTGTCCTGGCGGCAACCGGCAAAAGATGCGAACAGGCTTCGGGTCGGAGGAGTCCTCTTGCGCAGCCCCGGCGCGCCGAGCGACTCCGGCATGCCGTTTTGCCTGAAAGAGCCAAAGTGCAATCTGCTTGCGCCTGCGGGCAACTCTGAGAACTGGGCCAACATGCTGTCCTGGCACTCAGCACGAAACAAGAACATCCACAGGAGGGACTTCATGCTCCTTCAGCCCAGGAACTCCTCGAGCAAAGTCCTGGGCGGCGGCGACAAGGGACTCCTGAAACCCGAACACCTTCGAAAAAAATGTGTCCCAAGACCCAGGCCGTGCTCGGCTGCACGAGCAGCGCCAATGCAATCCCGAGAAGGCAGAGGCACATACCTGGCCGCTGCCTACCGCGGGCACGGTAGCGTCACAAGCTTGCCAGCCTCGGCTTTTGGTCCTGGTCCGCATCATCGCCATGGCTATTCGAAAAGCGCGTGAGCGGCCTGCGATTCCTCAAGCACTGGCACTAGACCCATCGGGCAACCATTGCGAGCTGTTGTTGTGTCAGTGTTGATGAGTACCCTCGAGCCAAGTTTCCAGAGCAAACACAAGCTTGACTGGCTTCTTTGGCAACACCAACGCACGGGTTTGGATGCTCCTCCTCCTTTTCACTCGCGGCCTGAAGGTCGGTCGGGCCAAGCCTTGCAAGGCTTCGCAGCGTCCATCCGTCAGACTGGCTGACCCACATCCTGCCGCTGCATCAAAGTCCAAGCGAGATACCAAACTGGCCTGCCTGCAAAACAAGCAGCCGAAATCGGCACCGGGCCGCCAGGGGCTGAAGGGCGGGGGTTTCTGGGGTCCTGGGATCACTGGGGCCTCTGGGGTCCCTGATTCCCTAGGGTCCCTACATTCCCTAGGGTCCCTCCTAAGGTCCCTAGGGTCCCTAGAGTCCCTGGGGTCCCTGCACACGTGTGCATCAGACGTCTCGCCAAGGCCCCAGAGTGCGCTCATCCCTGTCAACGCACGGCGGGTTCAGGGACCTTGGGGACCTTGGGGACCTTAGGGACCTTAGGCCTTAGGGACCTTAACCCTAGCAACCCGGCAAACCCTACCCTAGGGACCCTAGGGACTCCGAGGACTTCAGGGACCCAGCGACCCAGGGACTTCAAGAGATCCTTGGTGGCCCCAAGGATTTTGGGGCTTGAAGGGATCTTGGCAAGAACTTCACGCCGGGTACCACTCAGCCTGGGCATTCTCCAGCATCAAAGGGTCATGCAAAAACACAAAATGCCGAAGCCAAGACACACACACACACACACACACATTGCAAATGGGCCACAACACCACAACATCGTCTCCCAACTACAAACACGGATGTAGAAAACACCATGTAGAGACATACCAACATAAAGGCACAAAGACATAAAGATATAAAGATATAAAGAGAAAGGTATAAAGATACAAAGATATAAAGATATGAATTTGTAGAAATACAAAGATATAAATATATGAAAAATCATAAAGAGATACAAATACGTAGAGATATGAAGATAAAAATGTATGAAAATAAATAGATATGAGTACACGAAGATAAATAAATGTATGGCAAGTTGCTCGAATGGAAAAACAACAGAAGCTTTGCCCTTCCGCGCGTCTTTGTGGCAAGCTGCAACCAACCGAAGCTTGAGAGATGACTTCACACTTCACGGGATCTCTTGCCCCCAAGACCCAGGGTTGCTGGGGTCCCTAAGGTCCCTGGGGTCCCTAAGGTCCCTTAGGGTCCCTGAGGTCCCTAGGGTCCGTAAGGTTTCTGGGGTCCCTAAAATCCCTGAAAACGCCGTGTGTTGACAAGGATGGATGCACTTTGGGACCCTGGCGAGACGTCTTGATGGAAGGACGTTGTTTCATGGCACCCGCGTGCCCAGGGACCCAGGGACCCCAGGGACCCTAAGGACCCCAGGGACCCTCACTGGGTCAAAGATCAAGGGGGCTGACAGATTGGTGACAAAGATCAAATGACAATAACCTGCACGGGACCTCTTGGCCATGACAATGGAACGCGGCGAGGGCCCGGGCGGAACGTGGAGCTCGAGGCGCAAGCTCAAAAGTTCGGAGTGCCTGAGCGCCAGGAAAAAAAAGGCGATTTTGAGGAAACCACACTGCCTGACTTACAAAAAACCTGACAGTACGACTTGACGGGGTTGGGGCAATCGCTCTCAAGGTCAAGGGTTCACCAGGTTGGAGAGACAATACAAAATGCGGGCCGGGCTCAACGAGGTCACGATTTCCAAAGATACACGGGCCTGACGGCGCGGCTTGACGGGGTTGGGAAAAGCACACAAAAAAACAACGCAAACCACTCGGGCCTCACCGGGTCAAAGAGATCAAGGTTGGGCCCAACCCTGAAAGCTCAGTTGAAATCCGCGCATCAACACTGACGGCGCAATCAGCAAAAAGGCCCAGGCAGAACGTCTTCGAAGTCGCGCAAATCCTGGCACGGGACGGGGGGGGGTGTCCGGGCCTCGCTAGGCCAAAGATCAGGGGGCCTGACAGATTGGCGAGTTGGGACCCAAACCTCAAAGATCAGTTGGCATTGATGGCCATGACAACGGAAGCAGCGAAGGCCCGGGCAGTATGCCCCGATGTCAAAACAAAGCCTGGCACGCGAAAACACGACCTTCAAAATCCAGGACCAAACCTGAAACACTGCTCAAAGGCCGAGTTGACACCAATCCGCACAGGTGCCCAGCCAAAGAGTCCCCAGTAGCACGAATTGGATCCACCTGCAAGCGGCCAACAAAAAGTGACAAAAAGGCAACTCGCGGCGCTGCGAGAAGATCTGCACGTCGAAGTCTGGGCACAGGGCACGTGAGGTCAAGAAAAACTGTGAGTCTGAAACCACGCCTTTGCACCCGCGAGCGGTTCCCTGCCGCCCCGTACCCCAGAGTGTCCCCGAATCTCGCCTTCACAAGGCTCACGTGTTTGGGGAAGCTCTTTCCAAACACGACCGACAACGTGAAAATCGTGAGAAAAACGCAACACCGGCAACCTGTCATGCAAAATCACGCTCAAAAACCATGCAAAACTGAATTTACGGAAAAACAAACAAAAACGTGTTTTTTCCGGAAATGGCGGCCCTCGAGCCGCTTGAGCCAGGGCCGTCCCTTTGGTCGGACCATTTTGTTGTCCGCCCTATAGGAAAAGGACCGGCAAGCAAAAGTCCAGATCATCGCCACTAGCTTCGCCCTGGGCGAGGTGCAGACGAGCCCCAAGGGCGCCATCGTCTGGCAGTCCGCGTGGACTCACGTCCTCTGGGAGCCCAGCAGCTTCGGCGAGGACCAAGGACCCAGGCAGAACGCCTGCCTTGCGATGGAAAGGATTCCGAGGTGGGCGGCCTGGGAGGAATTCGAGAAGCTGTCTTCGCGGTCGAGCCGCATTTGGGGCGACTACGGCGATGTGAAGGACAGGTGGCAGAGCTGCCTCAAGGAGTCCCGACAGGGAGCGACCTTCCTGAAGTGCAAACTGGACGCGCGGAACGAGGCTGGCGGGCTGCGTGCCAGGCCCGCGTCGAGGCCTGGCAGGTCTGGATCATGGGCAAGCAATGCGGCCTGATGGAGGTCCGCGACCTGCAGGTGAACCCCGGCACGGGCGGGGACTTTTGCCCCTTCTAAGACTGCGTTCTGTTTATCGTGGATGTCAGACGTAAGCGAACGCGCCCGTAACTGACCCCGGCGGCCTCGAGAGAACAGCGAGGCCCCCGGGGCACCCAGGGACTTAGGGGGCCTAGCGGACTTGGGGGGCCGGTTCGGCAGCAGGCTCAGCTCCTCAGCTCGTGCTGGTTGAGCCTCCAGCAGCAGAGCAATTGCATGTTCACACGGCAGCGCTGATGGCCTCAGCTTCTGGAGCTCACCCAGGTGCTAATCTGCATGTGACGGCCTCGGATGAAGAGCGTGTCAAGGGCGCCGTGCGGCTTGTGGAGCTGCGGCGTGTCAGCAAAGTCGTCGATGACTGGTACAGTTTCTTCATTTCCAACTTCTTGGACGCTTCCGTGATCTTGCGCTGCTGCTGGATGATGCGCCGCAAGGCGGACTCATCCCACTCGTCCCAGTAAGCCTGCTCACGCTCCGTGTTCACCCCCAGGTCCTGCTCGATGTACTTCTTGACGGGGATCCAGCCATCATCGATGTTGACGCTTGGGCTGAAAACGTAGACAAACACGCCCTTGTACTGCTCCAGGATGAGGCTGATGAGCGCCACGGTCTTGCCCGACTTGCTGGGCGAGGAACATGCCCGTGCATGGTACCAGGGGCACCACGGGGTCCGAGGCTTGCTTGCTGGTGTACTCAGGCGTGGGGAAAAGCTTGATCTTCCCCATCGTTACGCAAGTTCCGCAACCGGCCAGCGAGTCCGGGACCTGAAAGTAAAAGCCGGCATGCAGCGTGCACCTTTGGAAGACACGTTGAATGTAACACTGCCGCAACAGACAAGGCCGGAACCTCACAGAAAGGCTGGAGTCTTCTTCAGCGATCTGCAATCTTCCGAACTCAAACTTGCTTAGAATGGGCGCATGTTCCTTGCAGGAATTGAACCCGCGACCTATGGCTCATAGGACCATCGCTCTAACCACTGAGCCAAAGGAACTTGGCAACGCAAGCACATTTTTGTTTGCCAGAACTCACTTTTGTATATGCACGAGCGCAGCGTTTTTTGACAATCACCTCAAAACCTGCGCCCTGCCATAGAATCCGTCCCTCTGGAGGATTGAACGAGGTTTGTACATGCAAGAGCGCAGCGTTTTGTGACACTCGGCCCAAAAACGCGCGCCCTGCCATAGAGTCCATCCTTGGGAAATTTGAACGGGGTTTGTATACGCACATGGCTGGCTCCACACCTGGACCTGCTGCTGGGCGACGTGTCGGTGCTGCACTCGCCCTTCTTCGGTTCCGGAAAGCTAGCCTGGCCTCAGCATTGTCGCTCTGCCAAGTAGCTTCCAGGTGGACCTATCAAGCTGCAAATCGGCCCAATCAGCAGGCTCAGGGAATTCTGCACCAAATGCCTGCTAGTCCACCCTACTCCTGCGGGTTGCGCAATGCGGTGGCAAGCAAGTTGAACGACTGTTCGGAGTTCCTTCGCACGGCAGCAGCAGCCACTGCCCCCGAGCTGCGTGCGGCGGCTGCAGCTGCCACCGTCCAACGTGACCGTGCGGCACCAGGATGCGTCTGCGAGCGCTGCCACACCCCAGCAATGCAATCCTGTTGCCGGCGCAGGATTGACGGAGACGCAACCCAAGGCTCACATGCAACCAAGAGAATTCCAACCCAACCAACCTTCTGCTCTAAGTCACCGTTGCGCTTGGAAAGCACTTATCAGGCTCTCTCTTTGGAGGGGGTTTCCCAAATGGATTCTATTCTACCTGAGAGGCTCCTAGCACTCGTCCGTCCAGGAAATGACCTTGTCCTGCGAAGGATTCGAAGTCT